AGTCAGCGAAGCCACTGATCCCACTGCTTCTGTTCCTGCGCCTGCTGCCGGTCCTCAGTTCGACTATCATGTTGAGCACAGGCCTTAGGTACAGAAGCCAATCCCAAGATTGCCCAGGTTCCCAGGTCCTGCATCAGCACCTGGATCCTTCAATATCAATGGCTTCAAAGCAGACAACACTTTCTTCAATAGCTCCAGGAACCCCTACTCAAGGGAAAGAATATCATCTGATCGGTTTTGGAGCTATCCGCAGCGAAGCTATTACTCCTGCATTCTTTACAATCAAGGTCGCATCTTCCCACACAAGCGTCTTGACATTGAAGCAATAGCTGGTCTGCCCTGTCTGGAAGAAGCTCTGGATTGCTTCAAAGAGGTTGGATTGCTACCATTCGTCACCGATCAAGAGCATTGGAATGAAGAGTTGCTGCTCCAATTCTATGCCACACTTCACATCCGCGGGTATAACAGAGATCCGAAGACTTGGGTCCTGGAGTGGATGACAGGAAATGTTCATCATGAAGCCAAAGCCTTTGACATCATTGAGCTCACTAGTCTACCCACTCCTGGCGATCTCTATGAATCTGGCTGTCAACTTCACAGTGAAGCTGTGGAGAGCATCTTTTAGAAGTCTGAACCTAACATGAGTCAGATGCTCAGTATGATGAAGCCATTGCCCCAAGATGCTGCATATCCCAAAGAGTTCTTTGTTGAAGACCTTGAGTATCTGCCAAGGACTATTTATCACATCATAAGGCGAACTCTCTGGCCCATCAAAGGACACTCTCCACATGCCAAGCTGGAAGGTGCAATGAAGACTTTGGTCTTCTATATTCTTCATGGCAAATGCTTCAATGCACAGGACTTCTTCATTCGCCAACTTGCTGCATCAGGCTCTGATCTTTTTGGCTTGAAGTTCTACGCCCCATGGGTAATGCGGCTGATCAAACTTCACTCCGCTATCTCATATCAGCCATCTGCTCGCAATCATCGGATCTTTCTGCCTGATGTGGATATGTCTATTGAAGCCATCTATCCTAAGCCTGCCAAGGAACCTCTAAGTCTTCAGAATGCAGAGCATCAAAGTTTTTCTCAGAACATTGAAGGAGTTGAAGCAGTCACTCGTGTGTATCCTTTGGCTGGCACTACACGTGCACCGCATCCTGCTCTCACTGAAGCCACTGATAGCACAATTGCCCAACGACCCAAGAAGCGCACTCGTGTTCTCAATGACCAGGAGCTTCTTGTGGCTCTTCATCAGAAACAGGATAGGCATCATGACTGGCTGAAGCGTCAAATGCAAAGCCTCTTGGTGGATGTTAATCGCATTCGCAATCTTGCCACCAAGAATGCCTTTGTCACCCATGAAACCTCTCGACGCACATGGAAAGGGCTGACGCTGATGTGTTCTGAAGATGATCTTCAAGAGGATGGCTTCTCTGAACGCTTCAAGTTTGACTCCACACCTCCTCGAAGGGCAGTGCTGCGACGAACTCCATCTCTTGAAGACTCTGAGTTCTCTTCCTCTGCTACAACTGTGAATGCCAGAGTGATCGAGGATGAAGACGATGCTACTTCACCGCCACCTTCTTCAGCATGCTTCGACACCGCTCCAAGTTCTTCTGCACCGCCGAACACCACCGACAACCCTGCTGCTTCACCTACTCTTCATGGAACGAGTAGATGCTCTATGTCTTCAAACCTTTTTGGTCCTTACTGACAAAAAGGGGAGAAGCATATGAGTTTGATAGTCTTCAAACTCATATGCTTTATACTTTTTGCTTCGTGTTTACAACTCTCGTTTGCTTTGATACAGTTGGTTCTTTGAGTTGTAACACTTAAACTCGATGGTCGTCTGCTACTTATTTGCCACCTCGTGATGCGATGATAAATTCCGCATGTGCGACGATAAATTCCGCACTTAGATCATTTTGCAAACGTCCATTTTCCATTATGCATGTCATTATCTTCACATACCTTCACATGCATAGTAGATTGTCATCATAAGTTGAAGAGCATCTCCACAAGCACAACCTGCCATGTGCATTTGCATTCCAAAAGCAAATTACTTATATGCACATCTTCAGGGGGAGCCCTTGCAACTTATGAAGACAATTCCTTATCATTTACAATTTCACATATTATATTCCCCGTTGAAAACTTCAACTAGTTTGTCATCAATCACTAAAAAGGGGGAGATTGTAAGTGCATCTAGTGCCACCCCTAGTTCGTTTTGGAGTATTGATGACAAACCTAGTTGAGGGACTAATGTGTTTGTGAGAATTGCAGGATAACACAGGTAGAAGTCCCTCATTGATTCGGTTTTCCTACCAGAGATGACCCCTAAAAATGTATGAAGACATTGATGTCAAAGGTGGTATATGAAGATATTCACATTGAAGACTATGACAAGAGAAGACATCGCATGAAGCCTATGGAGCTCGAAGACTTAGATCTTTCATAGTTCTTTTTCTTCTTTGTTGAGTCATAGGAACCACCGTACTGTTAAGTGGGGTCCAAGAGAACCAGTCAGAATGACTGAAGTGATGCTTAACCAAAACCTATGTCTTCGAGTGAAGACTATGAGAGCGAATCTTGTATAGAGTCGGACAAGTCAGCTTTGCTTGTAGCCCAAGTAAAGTTGCCGTGTGAGTTTGAAATCTGACCGTTGGAACACGTGTCAGTTCCTTAGTGACCCAGGGTCATTTCGGACAAATCAGGTCGGGTTGTCTAGTGGCTATAAATAGCCCACCCCATACAACCATAAACGGTTGGCTGCTCAGAGTTAGAATACGGCTTTTGTCGTTTGAGAGCAACCCACCTCGAAGCCTTTGAGAGAAAATTCCTTGCGAGGATAAAGCCCTAACCACCCAGAGCCAAAGAGAATTAGGCATCACTTAAGTCTTCTTGTCTGTGTGATCTGAAGACTTATTACACTTGAGGACTGTGAATCCTCCAGCCGGTTAGGCGTCGCGTTCTGAGCATCCAAGAGACATTGTGGATTGCCGGTGAACGAAGTCTGTGAAGGTTTGGGAGTCTACCTTGAAGACTTACCTGAGTGATTGGGCGAGGTCTGTGTGACCTTAGCTCAAGGGGAATACGGTGAGGACTGGGTGTCCTGAGCTGCGTGTTCAGGACTGGGTGTCCAGGACTGTGTGTCCTCAGGTTTAAATACCTAGCCGCCCTAACCAGACGTACAGTTGTCACAGCAACTGGAACTGGTCCAACAAATCATTGTCTTCAACGAGTCACTGGTTTCATCCTTCCCTTCCCTTTACTTACTGTTGGTCCTTGTGAAGTCATTGTATGATTGCACTATCTTTTGTCTTCACTGAGTGACTGCGTGTTCTGTTTGGCTTCATAATATCTTCCTACCTGATCCTTACTACATTGCTGCTATTAGTCATTGTGCTTTCACTCCATTGAATACTTGACTATGGTTTGCTTAGTGTAGTCTACCTTCTGCTGCATGGTAATAGGTTTATTTCTATCGCTTGCCTTCATAGCTTCCACGTTTTGAAGACTTTCATAAAAATCGCCTATTCACCCCCCCTCTAGTCGATATAACGCACTTTCAGGCATTGGATGGAGGGCTTTCTTCCTCGGGTGCTCGCTCGGTGACCGCACCAAGTTCGAGAACACACCATGGAAGTCTGCTCGAACTTCAGCAGCATGGCAGACATGCAAAAAGAGTCAGACGTTATGGTGAAGAAGGACGCTATGTCAGTCGACATCCTACGCCGGGCCATGAATCAGGTCGACTCCAGTGATGCTCGACGGAGGGCAAGGTGGGCCAAGTACAGAGAGTACAGGCGTCCTCATGACCATCGTGTCGCAGCGTACTTTACGACAAGGATTGTGGTGGCGGTGAGGAGGAACAAGAAGCGGTGGCGATGGAGGTGGAAGAATAAGATGCGGTGGCGATGGTTGTAAGGGCGCCGGAGCCAGGACACTGAAGCATGCCAATCGATCTGGACTCCGGCGAGGAAGAAGAGACGGTGGTGCAGCTCGAGGAGAAGAACAAGGCCAAGGGCACCCGCCGCTCCAATCGCCTCCAGGGTCGCCGAGGCTAAGATCTAGGAGTACTATGTAAGATTTACCCCCAATCCCCCCATTAGCCTTGTACTCAATCCGGAGGGAGAACCTCAAATCCATCGGTACTATGAACTCATGAAGATGTTATGATCACTCCTATCTCTATTTACCCCGATTCCCCATCCCCCTAATGCGGATTGGATGAACCTAAACGCAGATCGGATGCGGATGAGTACGTAAGGAGGTGAAAAAAGTGCTTACCGTCATTGCCGAAGTGTCGGAGGTGATGATGCGGATGCCGGTGAAGGGGTCGGAGGTCGCCTTCCTGTTCTCGGGTGTGTTGAACGCTGCCGCCGCCACCATCGTCAGTGAGAGTGGAGAGAGGGGAGAGAGCGGTGTGGGACGGTGAGGGTAATAACTGTCGGCGCTTCGAGAAGCAACGCGGCTTCTCGAGCATGGCTCCTCGCATGCAGGCCCCACCGCCCACGTGCATCGCATGGGCCGGGATCTAGAGAAACTGCTGATTCTAGCGTTCCTAGCAAGACAGGCCCAGAGGTGTTTTGAGTTCCATGCTATGCAGGCCCAAGAGTGAACGCATGCAACCAACCGGACCACGATCTTCCCACGCGGGTCTGATTGGCCTATATACAGGCAACCAAACACATCCTAATCGAAGTGGGGAGCTGCGTCTGTTTCCACGCTTTTATACCTCAGGGCATGCAAGCAGAACACCCAAATGCATATATGGCCTAACCATGTATGTTGCTTTTGCTCGAGTAATGCGCTTTCTTAATTCCTATCGCTTATGGAATTCATGATCGTGAATTCAAAAGGCTCTTCATCTGGGTGTGCAGGTGGCATTCAACTACATCTGGGTCCGTGGTCTGGGTAAAGAAAAGGTGGGCACCTATTTTGCCGAGGATTTCACCTGATACATGTTCATACATAGAGAGTTATTACTAGATCAACTAGATATGAACACAAGCATCGTCAATCCCAATCACACACACTGATCTTTGCAAGCAGGTTTCTTTTCGCTTTCTTTGTCCATTGGCTATTGCCCTTTCCACTTGGCCGAAGCATATACCCGCTTGAAAAAGGTAAATCAAGCTAGTGAGCTTCCCCCCTATGCGCACCACTATCTATCTAGTGTAGTCTCTCTCTATATCTAAATCTATATCTCTATATCTATACTATTTCTTATTACTATACTATATACTTAGAAAATGAATGCATACCTGGCGAACGTTCGCCAGGGCCAGCATGGCAATCGAACGCAGGG